TTACTGAAAAGTATTAATGTAAAGGTATTGTACTGTGGATTTTGGGTGGAAGATAATTAATTATAAGGTCCACCCTCATCTGATTATTAATTTTATTGGTATTATTTTACCTTGTAGAGAGGCTGCAAAGAATGGACATGGCCATGGAGCTTATAATCTGGTGGCTGGACATTTGCAAGGATATGATACAGAGGTAGAAGAACAGTAAGATGGATACTTGTTTCTTCTAAACTATTGGGAGGATAATTATCATTGAATAAGATCTGTTCGAAAGATTAACTTATTGTGTAAAGCTCCACCCACTGCCTCTATCAGTTTATTGCTGTAAAGCTTAAAAAAAGGTAGTGTTGTGAAGAATTTTTTTTTCCTCCAGTGTCTTTCATGAAATTTATGTGAACTCATAGAAGTGGTCAAATTGTAGCCATTCCTTTTTGCATCACACTGTTGTGACTTAAAGATTGCAAGTCACTGTTACATCTGAGATTCATATTGAGCTACTAGCAGCCGCTTGCATATTGGCAATGTGTTTCTGATTTTACCATATAACTTTTTGGATAATTCAATGACTGACATGTATACATGATATGTATTTTACTACTGTGTTGAACATTTTAGTCTTTGTATTGCAGTACAGACTATCACTCTTAGATTTAAAACAAAAGCAGTGCAAATTAGTGAAACACTCATTTGTACCTCAAAAGTACTTACAAGTACATTGTACATTTTACTTGTGATTTTTAGTGAGGTGGAACCCCTTCTTAAAATGGCAGCAGACAATGGTGTGGATGAAGCCAAAAAAGCTCTCAAGGACCTGTATCCACATAGGTACACATGACCCATCAGACTGGTTAGTTAATTTTGAATGTTCTTTCGTGATTAATTGTTAACAATTGAATTATTGAAGAATTGGGGAACAAAACTTATTTGGAACTTATTGGTATTTTTGTTTTGTAGCAATGTATTCCAAGAGTCCCCTCTGAAAATATGACACTAGTGGGAGGGGGGAGGGATTGGGAATCATTGCTCAGAGTGTTTTGACTCCACAACCTGTGGGAGAAATATGATGGGGGAGGGGGGGTGGACTCTAGTATACAGTTGGTGGGTATATGTTGAGTGGATCTCCAAATCTAGTCCTCCTCAGGGGGGTGGGGTACATGATTTTCTTCAAAAAAGAACCAACATGGAAAATTCATTGTACTTTTGGCTTCCAAGTGTCCCCTTTGAGAGTTAATTGTTATTTAGTAATAACTTTCTCCTAGACGAATTTAGTTGTGTTTTTTGTAGAGTCATTCAATATCTAAAACATGGTTTTTGTTTCATTTTATCCTCCAGGCTGCCAGTTTTTTTTGTTTTTTTTCATAATACCTTTCTTACACCTAGAAGAGCATGTTACCCTGATTATTTGATCTCTTGGGCATAGGTTTATTTGGAAAGTTTCGTTTGTTCAAGTGCAAGTTTTGTTGGTGTGCAAAGGATGTCAGGAATTAGAAGCTGAGAAACCAGATGTACCTCAGTCTTTCCCTCAACTAAGTAAATAAGTTTTTTTTCTTCCTACAGGCTACATAGTTAATCACAAAAGTTGAGAAAAAAATTAAGCAGACGATGGATATGTTGTGTCACAGACATATTGAATAATAATAGGATAAAAGATTTTTGCTGGTATTGTTAAAATTTCAGCCAGAAAGATATTTCTTTAATGCAACAACTTCTCCTTTTGTTTAAAACCCCTAGTCTTAAGTCATGTAGTGATTTCTAATCAGCACAAGATCATAGAGGTACAGCATTCTTTACACATCAGCTAAAAGTTGCTTCAATATTTACCAGATATTTATTGTTAGGTGATAGTTCTTTCACAGTCTGTTATTTGTCACTGATGTCAGTGGACAAGGAATTAATATATTATTTATTTGAGAACTAGTAATATAGTTTGAAGATTTTATTTGATTGAATGAGTTTATTTGATTGTCAGCATTTAGAAGCATGACATATTAGTCAAAGATTTTCACCTTCTAAGTACAAATTAACCAAAAGAAGATAACTTTAAATATTTGGGTTGTTACTGGGCATGGTTGTCAATGTGTCATAAAAAGCTGAATGGATTCCATTTGGTTCGGTTGCTATATTTCTTCAGCCTGAAAATGTTAACAGAATGACAGCCACTTTTATGGACAGTATCAACAACCGTTTGTAGTAAGAAAACTTAATAGTTATAGCTTTTCATGGTTGATCAAATTGGCTTTTATATATGGAAACTTCTTGCTATGTTGGTGTTCCTTATACAGCCAACATTTTGACTAAGTAGTCAGTTTATTGCTGACTACCCACTAGCTGATGGAGGACATCATATCAATTTTGTACTTGTGGAGTTAATAAATGAGTAATTGAAGGCTGATGAGTGGTTTATATTTCTTCTGTCATGGTGCAAGAATGATTTGTTCATTTAGAAACCCAGGAAAGAGAGCTAGTGTGTTTGTAGCACAATAAACTCAAGAAGGTCCTTTAATTTTTTCTTTGTTTTGACTGTCTTGTGCCGCTTTTTGCGACCGTCGCCGACATTGTCCAAAAGGTTAAGGAGATT